TCGAGTTAATTAAATTACCATTTTTTTTTGTACTTTATTAGCACTTAATATTCTGGCAGAATAGCAAAAGGAATTTAATACCAAATAAAATAATAAATAATAAAGACTTAAAGCCGGTCGAAAAGAGATTTCTTTATTAATTAGTTTCGTTTATCAATAGCCGAAATCCAACTAAGGCCTAAGTGCCTTTAAAACTGTGATTTTAAGCAAATGTATATTCTGTCAACTTTTCTGGGTTGTTTGTCAATATATTTGAAGAGATAACTCTCAGCTTGTCTTTCAAATTTATCTGTTCATACCGTACTACGAAACAAGATCAAATAAACAGACATCGATATACGTTTTTTCATATGTCCCGCACTTTTATTATAATACACTTATAAAGGGTAATAAAACTTGAAATTGCAACGCGTCGAATGTAACTTCTCCGGTACGATAAAGTATTTTTCTATAGCATCAACGTGTCCTTAAGACTTGTTTGTCAGTCAGTTGAGATGCCCGGATCCGACTACTGTATCATATAGCTGTCATAGCAAAAGTCGGTATTCTCTTCACACTTAATGAACAATATAGGAAATCTACAAGTTTGCCCTGCTTTAGCCATGTAATACATATCCTGGAATATCTTATTTCTTTTATTTATTATTATGACTATTATTTAGTTACTCAGCTAGTTTATTATACACTCCAAAGAATTATTAGTTTCCGAAACGCCAATATCTGTTGGTTTTATTGAACATATCATAAGCATGGAGCTAAAACTTAGATATTTAGCAAATGTGATAGCAACCCCGCTGTTAAGCAACTAAAGTTTCTTCAGAAGCGTTTAGAAATATAGTATTTATTGTGTCAGTGCATGCTCACTTAAGCAACTGATTTTGCCAGAAAGTAGCATAAAAGGTGAGCATTTATGGCAGCTGACATGCGAGTGCAGACTCTGTGGCAACATTTCATGCTGGAAAGGCAAATGTAACATCAAGTACATCTAACCTCAGGCCATTATTGTAGTAAATAATTGAATATTGTTGCAACGTGTGGCCAAAACTTCTGCTGCAAATGTGTTGTGGCTGCTTTTGCTTTTGCTGTTGCTGTTGGTGTTGCTGGTGATTTAATTGCTGGTGTTGCTGCTGCTGTTGCTGTTGCTGTTGCGGCGCAGGCAACATCAAAACACAATTGACTTTTCGCTATATTGCAACTTTGAGGTTTTTGTCATGGCAACTGGTTGTGTGTGTTGATTACACAGCAACTGCAGCACCACACACACACAGACACAAACCCACACAAACACTCGCACACACACATACGCACACACAAATTGGCATTTACTTGGAGTTGCCTGTCTGCATTTCCGTTGCAGCTGGCAGCGACAATTTTGGTAACGTCGTCTGTTGGCGCCATTTGCTGTGGCAGCTGCTGCTGCTGTTGTTGTTGTTGTTGTTGTTGTTGTTGTTGTTGCTGTTGTTGCCGTTGTTGTTGATGTAGTTATTGTTGCTCGTGTTGCCTTTAAATTGCGAACTTTGCGAGTGACTTCTGTTGCGGTGACTGTCGCGACATTGCACCACAACACTTTGGATTAATTTAGCGGATGCGGCGCACACAACAAGATATACCAACCCGCACAGTAACACCCACACCGACACACACACACACACACACTCTAACACACTCGCATGTGGCACAAAAGTTTCCATTTATTGTAGTTTTCTCAAGTTGAGATACGCGTTGCTTGGCAATTGCCAATTGGCATTTAGCTTGAAAATGAAGCCATTTAAGAGCAATTCACAGCGCTCGGCCACTTGGCTTGGGCGCATAATCTTTTATGCAGCCATAGCCGATGCCTTTTCTAGCCAATTTACTTGGCTAAAAGTCATAAAGCTTCTGCATGGCTGCCTGCAGCATAATCGTTATTTATGTGCGTGAAATACATAAAAAGGCTGCCGTTAACAGGCCATAAAACTCAATAATATCACAAAATAAGAAAAAAAAAAAAATGAAAGAAAATGAATAAAATACCAAACTAACTAACGTCATTTTGTGCAGCAGCTAACGCTGCGTATGTGTAATTTTTGCGTTATGCAATAAACCCTTTGGGCTAATGATTGCTGTTGGTACTTCAAAATGTACGTACTTAAGGCTAAACAGTTTTGGGATAGATTGGCAGCACACAGCTTACGGGGTGTTGTTGTTGTTGCTGCTATTATTCTCGTTTAGCAACATTTATCGCCAGTTTGACACACACACACACACGCACACACATATACTCCGAAAGGCAACACATGCTTGGCAGCCATTTTCACGTTATTTTGTAAACAATTTTAAACTGAATGGAAAATGTTTATGCTGCTTCTGGTGCTGCTCCTGCTGCCGCTCCTTTTGTCCCTCTGCTGCTCATCGCATGCCGCACCCTATTTAACTTTTATTATTGTCGGGTAATATTTTTTTACGTTTTCGCCGCTTTTTTTCACTTCATGCGCCATGTGTATATGTGCTTAAAGTTTTGTGCATGCGTTATTAAATTTATTTCACTTGAACGATGAAGTAAAGTTAGCTTATCTTAAGCGTTCACTAAAGATTGGCTGTTTTTCGGCTTTTATATAGGTGGATCTGGGGGACTGTTCGTAAATGAGTTTTAGATAAATTGAGAAAAATAGCAATACAACAATTCTCACCTAGAATGACAAACGTGTGGAGTTGATTTGTGAAATCTTCAGGGTGGCTTCTTTTAGAGATTTTATGTCAAGTACATTGCTTCGACATACTTTGTACTTAAAAAATATACTAAGCACAATTTTCTTCAAAACTGTGTGTGCAAAGTAAAGTCAAATGTATCATAGTGTTTAGAAAGTTATGTTTAATTAGGAAATAAAGCCCAGTTAACTTTAAATTTTAAGCGAAGCATTGAACAAAAAAAACTTTTATTGTTCATTCACGCACTTTTTAATTTAAAAAAATGCGTATGCAAATATGAGTTTGTATTACATATATGCATTTAATTCGTATTTGCTTACTAGACCGGTAAAAAATATTTATATACATACATACATATATATATATATATATATATATATATATATATATATATATATACAAAAGCCTAATGGCGACTTTTTGCCTGCAGCATATAGTTTCCATAAATTTAAAAAAAAAATGAAATATTTATAGAATAGTTTTATACATTTTATTTTTATAAAACGGTATGTTTATAAAAAACATTAATGCGATTTACCTGGCTTAAATAACCATTAAAATTAATTTAATATTAATAAACGACGAAATGGCCTGCTCGAGGGAAAATAAACAGCAGAGATTTACTTTTGAATATAAATTAAATCTGTTATACAACAACGATCTTTTATTAATATTTATATTAAGGATATTTTTAAAAATATAAACGGAATACATAAAATAATATAATAGCATTTTAATGGTTGTTTTCTGTGCAGCGCCCTTTGCCTAGCTGTCGCTGTCCAATGCGGCGTATACGTAATTTGGCCCACCATTGATTGAAGAACAACAGCATAAAAAATGTAGCATATTTTTTGTAAAAAGCATTTTGTGTGCCTGTTTTTGACATGGTGACCATTGAAGTGCGCTGCCACGCCCCGAGCCGCCCACATATTGATTGGTGCTGCATGGCAACATTATTGCTGCATACATTTTGGCATGCGCTTAATTACATGGCAGTTACAGGCATGCGTTAGTATGTGTGTGTGTGAGCTATGTGGTTGCTGGGCGTGTGTGTATGTTTGTGTGTGTGTATGTGTGTGTGACTATTATGCACGTTAGAAACGCGGCACACTTCGCTGTGGCTAGCAGCATGGAAAAACAAGCGCGCTCACATTAATTGAACAATTTTTAGCGCAACTTTTTTTTGCCATTTTCTAGATTATTATCGCTTGGGGGGGTCTTTAACTTTTTTTTTCCTGTAGCCACAACACGCGCAGCGCTTATTAAACGACGCCCCGTGACAGGCTTCGCGTGTTTATAATTCACACTTCTGTTGAATGCTCCAATACCTACGGAAATTTACCGTAGCACTAGCAAAACTGGCTTAAAAAACTGTATATGAAGTCATTAAGTGCTGCAGCTTTGGAGGCGCTTATCAGCAGTTGAAAGTGCAGTTGCCTGTTGCATGACAGAGTCTGGATATTGTTAATTACTACTAGCAGACCGCTGCACGTTTATTAAAAAATTAAAAACATTAAAAGTAACTTAAGTACTAACAGCTCAAGTTAAGCAATTCGCTAGTTAAGCCACGGCTAACCGAAATCATAATTATATCCATATATAATTAAGTTTTTAATTGGCTCAAAGGTTTTTAACTGTATGTCCCAGCTAATAACATAATGAATATGATAGAGTTAAAACAAGTTGCGGACATTATTTAGCATGTAACATGTGCAATTATATCCTAGAATTTTTTATAATACACAGAAGGATGGTATTTTATATAAAAATGCCAAAGACATGCAAGTAAGAAGCAGCAGAGTTTCCTACCGACCGTATTAGCAAATATTTATATATAACGTTGTTTTTGACTGAAGTAGAGATGAAATGGGCCGCTAGCTTGTCCTCTAATACTAAATGTAGGCCATGTTGTCGTCGCTTTTACCATCTCTCCTCCGCTGAAATTAAGGAACCTCGTATTTTCGATTATCGCCTTGCTATGCGAATCTCATGAATCCAAGTAGGTCTTACATGCATATATTTTTTCAAGTCCAATTCAGTCCAGTATTTAAATATTTTATGGGAATCTCATGCTGTCAATTAAGCCTCACAGGATTTTCATTCGTTGATTATATAAATGTGTTGAGTTGATTATATTAATTTACTGTCTGTCTCTCTCTCTCTCTCTTTCTCTCATGCTAACCCCTTTTCTCGTTTTGGTTCACCTTTTGACCAACATTAACCTTAATTTGTCAATGTATGCTTAATGTTTGCTTGTAGTTTCTACCTTACATATTAGAAAAAATTTTGTCAAACAAATTTTCTTTCTTGAATTTGATATTGACATTTTAGATAGTTCAAAAAAAAGTAATGTTTGAAATCGAGCAAAAAAACAAAAACATGCAATCAACAGTTTTCCTTTACTTTCGGACCTTGGGGTGGACCTTGAGATACACAAAATTCCCCAATCAATCAATCAATCAGTCCATTGGTCAGTCAGTCTGGCCAAGCAGTTTTATATATAAATGTTGAGTAAGTGTGCTTTAAAGTTTACTTTAAAGCTAAATGTAGTGTATTCACTGGCAGAACACACGCTCCAACCGAATATTCATGATAGTTTTTCCGCTTTTGTTTTGCTCTGTATATCTCTGGCGCACAGCTGGGCATTTGCTTTGGTAATTTGTTAATGTTTTGTGAAAAAAAAACCAGAAATAAATTCGAAAATTTGTTGACAGCTTCAAATTTGTGCCCGCTGGGCTTTTGTCTGTCACGCAGGCCCCCAAATGAGCAGTCATCAAAATAAAAGGGTCCTGCGGCGTTTCATATTTGTTTATTTATTGCCATCAAACCCGTAAACATTTTGCGCTTGCTTTCCTTGTTGCTTTATTTATTATTATTATTTGTTGGTGTTTATTTAATGTTTATGAGCGCTGCCGCCGTTGTTTGTGCCTCATTTACATTTTATACACACCCAAGCCGCCTTAGATACTCTACTGCGCCCCACTCGCAATGTCACAATTAAAAAGAAAGAAATAATAAAATAGGAAAAGCGTGAGCAAGCGAAATGTTTAAATGTTTAGTGTTGACACACGCCAAGTGTTGCAGGACGCAGCGCCCGCGGACTTGCAACAGCCATTGTGCCACATTCGGAGCGAGCCATTGTTGTTGTAGCTGCTGCAACCGTTGCTGCTGTTGTTGGCTGTTGTTGCTGTTGTTGGCTGTTGTTGCTGTTGCTGCTGGCGTTTAGCTCGTTAGTCGGCCATCATGCAAGACTGCTGTGGCACGTACAAGTGGCAAATACAAAGGCAGTTGTGAGTGTGAAAGCCACTTGAAAACACGACTAATTGGAGCTGACGTTCTTATACATATGCGTACATACGTATGCCAAGCGCATTACGTATGCGCCGCGTTGTGCAACGGGCACTACAAATTTATGAGCACACACACATACATACACTCGCTCGCACAATTACAAAACTGTCGTCGATTGTTACAAATCAATGAGCACATGGGCAGCCTTCATATGCAGCAGTAACGAGTCATTAGCGACGCTTAGGGACGCACAGGACGTCGGGATGAAAATTGCTGAAGTAGCGCTAATTGCAAAGCAATCGAAGCACATGAAACGCGCATTAAGTCACAGCTAAATCGTAGGGTAGGTGTAGGGTAAGGGTGGGCCTTAGGGTAACTGTATGTGTGTGCGTGTATGTTACCGACTGCAAATGGCGCACATACTTACGCATTTATAAGGACACACATGCCACTTGGGAGCTGCTTAGCTCAGCAGTTGCCGGCTGCCAGTCCACTGGGAGCTGGCCCGGCAGCTGATGAAGGTCAATATGGTTACACTTAGCCTGATTTTCTTACGCTTTTGTGCATGCTTGTGTATGTGTGTGTATGTCTGTGTGCTTGGCTTTTATTGACAAATACATAAAATGCGCTTGAACCTTTTGTTAAGACGACGCACACCTTTGGTTTCATTTAGGGTCCAACGTGTTTGTCCTCTGTGCCGTGTCCTTCTTTCTTATACCCTTGCGGAGAGTATTATGAATTTTGTCAGCAAATACGTAAGCCATACAGGCAGGAAAGTTTATATCTCACAAAAAATATATATTCTAGAGCAACATATAGCCTACTCCGTCAGTCCGTCTGTTCGTTTGTCCGTTAATCTGTTTTCTAGCAAGGTATGCCCGTAAGGCATAGGTCTACAAGTGTATTAAATCTTCGGCGTTCCGAAAATATACTTATTTTCTCGTTTTTTTTTTCTTTTACAGGCTGTGCCTTTCATTTCGCTTGCTTAACTATTTATGAGCTAGCAATCCCTGGAACGCAGTGCGTCTTTATTTGTGCTGCTACTTTGCTGCCCTCTGGGCGTTAAATTGACTTGGCTTAGGCTCACACACTACACACACACAAACACTCACGCACTCGCACACTCTGTTATTCGCACACACGTGGGACTCACGCATGGCCGCATCTGGACAGGCATCTGCTCAGCCGAGTTACCTTGGAGATGGTAAGTTGATCATCAGCTTGAGCCCTTTGAACTTTCACTCGAGAACTTTAAACCCATTTAACTGGCTAAATTTGTAAAACGCGAGCGGCTTATCCGTACATTTTGCGTATCACTTCGGAAATAAAATTTAGTACTGTCGCTAATTTCGCTGTTTGGCTCGCTGGGCAGAAGTTTAGTGTTAGCCAGTTTAACGCTACATAAGCCAAATGCTTAGCCTTTTTTATCGCTGTCGCCTGTGCCATAAATAAGCCTAGATGGCTGACAAAGAGTAAAACGCGCTACAGCCGAAGACTGTGCTGAACTGTGCCAGGTCTGAACCCACCAAATGTCTCTAAGTAGCTACAGCACTCCGGGGAGCAATTACCCCATCGGGCATCGGGACAAGTAGCGGTAACAAGTTGGGACTTGACCCGCCTCGCTCTGGCATAGACCAAAAATTAAGTTACATTTTGGCCTGGCAAAAAAGTTGGCTAAAGAATGCCCGCGTCTGGCCATATGTTTCACTAATGGCCGCGCACATTGCGGTCATTAGGGGAGCCGCTGCTGCAGATGGTGCACAGGTGGGTGGTTGGGTTTTAGGGTCTTGGCAGAGCAGCCAGCAGACTATTTTGCCAAACACTTGAGAGTTTTATTGAGCGGTTTTTGCAACTTTCCAATGTGCCCATATATTTAAAGGCTTTTTTTCTGCACGAAGCGAGGTAAACCAAACGGTATAAAGAAATGGATAAATTTGTAATCATGCTTAAAACACATAAAATTAAAAAGTCATATAAATCTCGAGTGTTTCATAGTCTACCACTTACAGACCGGTAAGGTTTTCAAGTAGCATGAGTGTATTTATTTGTAGTGTTAAAATTGAAATCGTAAGTTTAAAGCTAACTAATGGTTGAAACGAAATATACTTTAGATTTAATATGAAATCTATACATAATCTGTCAGGCCGCACTTGGCCATTTCAGGACTTTATTCTAAGTTTGTAAATTAATATTTCATTTATCTTTCAGTGATTGAAAATAAAACTATCATCGTAATATTTTGATGTTCTCTTATTAAGTTTGATATGGCATATGATATTGAAAACGAGTTTGAAGTTGATCGATTTCCTATCCATTTAAGTCACGTGCTTTGTAGCTTGAAGCCTGTCGACTTGCATCAAGCTTTTAAGACGCATTTTCTGTTCAAGCGAAGTAGAATTTTGGGTCGAATATGTATCAAACAAATTTCCATATGCACTTGATTTTTACATATTCTCAAATAAGTTTGAGCACAGATCTTTGAAATTGAGTTTGAGGCCAATTGGAACTTAAATAGAAATGTTTCATATAATTCAAGACGCGATTGGCTTCTCTCATTTCATGAGATATGTAAGCCACTGTAAATATTTCAATTAGATTTCAACTAACTGTTAAATAATCAGTAATTATTCAGGCAGTCAGAACAAAAGGTTTTCTGTATATTCAGATGAGTGTTGTTTGTAATCTGTTCAACATTTATATTTCTCATTTTAACAAGCTTAAATAAACTTCAGCAGAGCCTCGGGTAAAACACAACAATTGTAAACATGAAAGCCAAAATGAAATTTAATGCTGACTTGGCGAAATTATAAAATGGAAATCAGCTTGCAAAATGTAATTAAATGCAACAACACATGCGTTCCAAAAAATATTAAGTAATGTGCCGGCTATTGTAAATATGTGTATTTCATTAATTAATGCAATGTTTAATATTTGCATTAGTTTCGTTTAAGATTTTGGTAATTGCTAATCAAATTACCTAAGAAGCAGGCAACTGCTTGAAAATTAATATATTTTCGGGATGGTAAAGAAAATATACCTAGCATATTATGATTATCTGTGCGGGCATGTGCATGCATCCAAATTACTAACACTAATACAAATATAATAACAATTATGCCGAAGAAGCGACGACTAATATGGAGGAGGCAAGGCAGTTGGGCTTTGTTAATAGGTAGATGCATGCATGCTGAGGTGCTGCAAATTGGTTTTCATTGTTTGCTTGAGTGTAAGCTTGTGCGTGTGTGTGGGTGGGTCTATTTACATATGCGACCAAATTATGCAACCCGCTCACGTATGCGACAATAACCACAGTAATGTCTAGGGAGTAAATGGAGGGGTTCAAAGATGTGTGCGCGTGTGCGAGAGTGGTGTGTGTGTGTGTGTGCGTGCATCTCTGCGCAAGTTATTATCGGGTATGTTTAAATTGCAAATGAGCTTGCCTAGCATTTAATCAAATCAAAGTAATCAAAGTAGCATAGACCTTTTCGACTCTCTCCCAATCCATCAGTAAGTCAGACATTCTAGTCAGTTAGTCAATGATTGTCCAACTGATTTGAGTGCATATCCTTTGCATCCTGCTGTGTATACTCAATAAAATATTTGCTTTCATTGATACGAATCTGTTTGCGCAGATGTTTCGAGTGAACGGGTAAGCCAGGGACATTCCTGGTATTTATTGATCCAACGCATTATAAATCAAAGAGATTAATCATGCTGTACAATGGCAAATCCCTTCAAAAGGAATTGCAAATTCCGGCCTTTTGTATCTCTGACTGAGCCAAATATTAGCACACTTGAGCCGCTGACAAAGCTAGAAATAGAAACGGAAAAACAAAAAATAAATAAATAAAAGAACCCAAAGCACAAAGTAGAAAATTATGCAAACGAGGCCACTCTCGCTGCGAAAAAAAAGGGACAACGAGCCCCAATATCACAGAGTGAACCACAGAAGAATTGGCCTAAAACAAAAGCCAAGACAAAGACATTAAAGTGCTCAACTCTGACTACTATGTAAATTTTATGATTGCACCTTTTCCAAGAAAGGCAACCAGGCAAAAAATAAAAAAAATTTAAAACAAAGAAAAACTCTATAAAAACCCGCACAAGGCCTTCTCCGGGTCGCAGTCAGTCGACCAGTCGCTAATTATGATATATGTAGGTGAGGTATTCAAGGAAACATTATATAACAACACACATAAATTGATATTAATTGCGGTTTGCGTCCACAACTCATTGACGTCTAAATGCTGTCTAATTGTTTTTGGTCATTATTTTTGGTTTATTTAGTAGCCGCCCTTCTTTTCCAGGCAGCGAACAGATTTCTGCAGCGTCATTAAAATGAAACTGGGGTGGCGGCATAAGGAACGCAAATAATCATTTAATTGCAGCTGGATTCTCAGCTCTATTCCCCCAATGCTAGCCCAAAGTTAGCCAGCAAAACGTGGCCCATAAATAGCAACAACTTGGCAAGGAATTGAAAGCACTTGAATACATTTAAGTTATGTAAGATTTATAGTCGAATGACACTAGCTGAAATCAAGCAAATTCATTAACCTGGCTTGTGTCTTGGCACAAATAATTTATTGTTCAATTTTGAAAATAGGTATATGCAATGCTCTTTCAAAATGTATCCATTTTTAAATATCCTTTTTGATGGTTACTCAGATTTGGGGCTTTCGGCTAGTGTCAATGGAGAATAACTAGATAAAATATAGTTGCACTGAATGGCAGCTAGTTCATTTTGAAGCGAACCTGAAGAGTGCGGCATAATATTTATGCTTAATGTTTGGGATGAGGGCTGGCAATTTATTTGAAACCACATAAAACAAGTGGCGAGTAAAAATGTAGCCGCTGCTGTGCTTTGGCTTCTGGTGTTTCCTTGGACCGGCTAATGAACAAACAGAACGGATGATGAAAACCACAGTAAACAAGAGCACAACAGCAGCGCTGGCAAATAGCTGGGCAAAAGGACGTAAGGACTAAAAGGACTTAGCACGTAAACGGGCGTGTTGCATAAGCAAAAACAAACTTCAAACGAGAGCCAAATGATAGCAAACTGACAGCAGTCAGCGGGCAGCGGGGCAGCGGGGCAGCCGGCGACGGACCAAAAGCAGTGCAGCATTATTAACTTGAATAAAAATATTTACTGCTCGTCAAGGGTTCAGCTATCCACTGCGGCAGTTGGCTGCGATGCGATGACGAAGTGACAAGGACGAAAAACAGTAACTATGATGTTGATGAAATGCGCCACTTAATGCGCGGCCATTTACTTTGGCGCACAAAAGCAGGCTACAGTTATTTTTCTACTGCTGCAGTTTGTTAGCCAAGCGATGATTAAAGTTGATTTTGTTGTAATTTGCTGCTGCCTTTGGGTCTGGCAAGTTTGTTATCGCTGTTCTTGTGCTCGTTCTTGTTGCTGTTGTTGTTGTTGTTGTTATTTCTGCGGTGGCTCCCTCTTTTAAGTGGCACAATTTTGCGGCGCTCAAGTGTTTCACCTGGGCTCTGCGTTGTCGCGTCGTCATCTTTATAACGCATCGCTGCTCAAGCGTCTACCCGAGTGCAGCTGAGTGAAAAAACCGCAGCTGCCAAGTGCATGCCGTGTGAGGTTGTGGGGTAGGGCTGGCACAAGGGGGCACGACCTGTCGCCCCACACTGTCTGGCAAAACATGCGCGAATTAATCTTAATTGAAATTCCATGCCGCACAGTACGGCTTGCCATACGCCTTCTGTTTACACACACACACCCACATACCCACACACTCACACAGGCTCGCACGCAATAAAATATTAAGCGAAATTAAAATGCGCACTCACACGAATGCACAGTGAGTCCTTGCCAAATATGGTCGAGCCTGTTGGCAGCCGCCCATCTCATCATATTTTAAGATATTTTATTTTTCACATTTTCTTTCCGTGCCACACCCACCGGCAGCAGCAGCTCAGTTTACTTTTCATTAAAACGTATTAAAATCCTACACAGCAACAACAAAAGCACACCTACACACACACACAAACAAACACACACATACACACATTTATGCAGTTGCTCTTGCTCTCTCTTTCCATCCACAAACAATTAGACGGCATGCTAATTGTTTTAGAAGGCATTCGCACTTCGTCGCTTCTCGAGTATTACACTACCCCTTCGGCCGCCTGGCAGCCATGCCCCTATTGCTGGCAATCTTGCAGCTTAAATTGAAATTTAATACCACGGCATAATCCATGGGATTGGGCTGTACACATGTTAAACACATTTTTGCCTCAACTTTCTTGTTCGCCTTCCCATTCAGGAGCTCCAGCTTCAGAGTTTTTAGCTAAAAATCCTTTTGCCATATTGCAGACAGAGTTCTCGCCAGGGACTTTTACCTGCACATTCTAATTTGTATTCAAATCAAAATCAATAGGATTAACCAAGTTACATAGTGGTTGTAGCTGTGTGGACTGCATTGTTGCTGCGGTTGTTCTTGTTGTTTCTCTTCCACTGCACGATGCAAAAATTGTTTTTTAACAAAAATATTTCAATGCATGCAGCGTGCGCCGCAGGTATGTTTGGTTGCTTGTGTATGTGAAAGTGTGTGTGTGTGTGTGCTTGTCCTGGAGTGTGTGGCTTAACCGTACATAGCTCTCGGCTTATCTCTAAACCTTTTACACTCTCGCAGATAAGCCAAAGTTTATGTTATGCAGCTTGCCGCTCAAGTTTATAAACTTTTTGGCTGGCTTTGGGCTAGTGCAAACACGGTAAGAAGTAAATTAATGATAACTAAATAAGGCAAAAGTGTTTAAATAATTTAATAAAGTGATACAGCTTCTTAAAAAAGAATACAAAAAGGTATACAACAGGATAAGGAAAAACGTCAACAGAAAAAAAAAATATTGAAAAGAAGGTTTAAGCCTGAGATATGTGAAAATTCCCAGAGGAAAAGCCTAAAGCTGCTTTCTTTAGTAAAACGCGGCTTACTGTGTGCCGAAAGCAATATTCTCTGGCAACAGAGCAGATATATCAGGCGAACTGTTGGACGAATTTCTGGCATGCAATAAATTGTAATTTATTTTTAAGAGAGACCCACGTTGCCTACCTTGTAGCCAAGCTACCAAGCAAGTCCTTTATATATTTTAGCTCCACTTAATTATAAGCTAAATATATTCTTATATGTATATGAAAATCGTTTCTTGAGGAGAACCAATGCAATATTTTTGGCTTAGTTGATATTTTCAAAAAAATAGCTTAAGTACACTTAACTCGGCTAAGTTATGATTATTTGCAACTGTCGCCCCTTTTCACCTGCAATGCGCTCCTGTACACACACATTGTCCCGCCCTCATATGAATATGTGGTAATATTGGAAAGGTAGTCGGCTGACAGTTAAGAAAAAAAAAAGAGCAAAAAAATAAACTTTGTACTTTGCGTTCGCTTTTGCGGCTTTCCTTTTGCCGCTGGCCCCAAAGTAAAAGCAGCCTGACAGTTGGGGATTTCAGAGTGCAAAGATAATCCGCAGGTTATATATGTATATGTACGTTTGTGTACTCCTGCTCGTCGCTGCAGTTGAAGATTCGGTATCAGGTGAATGCCATAAGCATTGAGCAACATAGCATCGCACTTTTTTTATACCCTGAACGCATTAAAGAAAGGGTAAATTGTTATTGTGCAAATGTATGTAACAGGCAGGAGGAGGCATTTGCGATCTCATCTAGAACAATATAAGCGAGAGATATGATATCTGCCTATGCAGATTAAGTTATCGTGTCGAACTTTATAGGAAATAGAAGGACTTAATGCAGGAGATAAGCCAGTTCATATCATTTCCCCCAAAATTAAAAATTATTATTTGTAGATAAAAGCTTAGCTGCATACATACACCTGGATGTCACATATATATCCTGAGAAAAGCATACTGCTCGGAGAGTAAACGGCGCATTTCCTACAAATTTTTTGCTCGAGTGATTTTGCGAAATTACATGTATTGAAGAGTATAAAGTGTTGGTTAGTTGGGTAACCGTTGAAAACCCCAACATTTTGTGAGTGTGGCTTCGAAGCTGAGTTCAGGGTATCGCCTAGTCGGGCACTTCCGACTGCATCATTCTTACATGCCAACCAACAGCATATGGCAATCGTGGACAGGATGCTGCTGCCGTTGGCATCTGTGGTTACATTTATGAACCCATTGCAGCTGTTGCTGCTGCTGCAGGGTTCTAAACGTGCCCGCAACGAGTGTATTTCATGATGAATGTGTTTAAATGAACATGCCAAAAGGGGTAAAAATAAAAACCATCGAAACCTGGATTTAGCATCGTTTTAACTTGAATTGCGGTCCAAATTGGCCTAAAGAACAGCTTCAACGACATTAATTAGTAGCAAAAGAAAAGTGCTTTAGATAGAAACTGCCGCTACTTATGCGAAACACTTTTACTAATTTCATTAATTGTGTTTTTTTTTTATTTATTTTTTTTTTGTGTTTAGTTTGCCAGCAACGCTGCCATTTTGCGTAGAAGTGGCGCATTTAATTAGGCTAATAAAGTAATTCAGAGCAGCGAGTGTTGCGTTGCGAGGCAAGTGGTTTCTATCTACAGTGGCTGCTAATAAAACTGTTATAATGAGTTGGCAGTAACGAGCGGCAATTGGCCTGGTTCAAAGGATACACATGAGAGAAAGAGAGAGAGAAAGAGAGAGAGATAGACAGAGAAAGAAAGAAAGAGAGCGAGAGCGAACGTGCGGCAGCAAAGCAAACTATGCCTCAATCAAATAGAAAATAGAATTATCTTGGTAAAAGTGTGCTGGCATGTGTGAGCGTGTGTGCTAGTTAATGTGATTAACACTGGCTTGCCATGTGTGTCTGTATGTGTGTGTCCCTTTGGGTGTGTTGCTAATATTTGTTATTTGCCATGTTCAATGCCTGCGCCCTTGGGGTATGCAACATATTTTTTATGTCGCGAACTGCTGCAGCAGGCGATCGCCGTAAATCCTTTTTAATTAATTTCATAAATCAAGACCAATGCTCACACACACACACACACATATGTATGTACTTATGCATATAAATCATGTAATTAACATGCACATAGCACACGCACGGGGCAGCCAGACCCCAACTTGCAACATATGAGCCTGCACTGTGCAGCAGCGGTGGCCATGATAAACAAGATATTAACGACTTAATTTACTGCAGCCCAAGCGCCTTGTGTGTGAGTCCATGGCCATAAAATGCAGGCAGGCAGCACAAATATAAAATGTTAAATAAATAAACCAGGCAATCGACAAAAAAGAAATCAAGAAAGCTCAGCTATCTACGGCACGCCGAAGATCAAATACTTTTTTATGCATGTGGATGGAAAATGCTCTTCTTCGAAAGCTTTATATTCGGCCGATTATTCTTACAGGAATTATATAAAATACTAATCTGATTGAATGCAGTTGGAAAATATTTAAAACACTTAAAAATTCTTATTTGCTTATTTGTTTCCTCTTGGGCTCTGATTTTAGTATATTTTTCATATACCTACGGAGTACAGTAAAACTATTATATGTATACTTGAGGCTACTTATGCCTGCTTCTATGCGTTATAAATTTCATGACAATATCAAAATACCCTCCACAAGGG